AGCGTTGTGAATGAAGGGACAAGTTTCGCATCGTGCGCGAGTGCATTTAAAATTGCCGCGTTGGTCATTAGTTTGAAATGAACTTCTGACCAAACAATTGCCTATATTTTTGTCGCGTTTGAATGAAATAAGTGGAGGTTCCGAAGAGATAGTGCCAGTATCTAGATTTTTTTGAAGTAATTTAAACTTTTTCAAGAATAATCGATTTAACTGAGTGGTTGTGAGGGTGAAACGTGAGAGTGAATGGAATGCGGTCGGAATTTTCCTTCTGTGACGTTTGTAGTGCTGACTGTCGATCAATAAGTTGGGCGCGGTGGTGACCCGCTTGAACGACAGAAACAGGGTAACCACGTTTTTCGAAAAACTGGCACATTGACTCTGATTTGTGGGAAAAATCAGAGTCATCACTACATAAACGACGAAGTCATAGAGGCTGAGAAAAGGGAATGGAATTCTTAACATGAGATGGATGCGAAGATGAATACAAGAAGTAACTATGCGAGTCTGTAGGTTTGTAATACACACTAGTGTAATACACACAAGGACAATTTTCAGAACAACCCTACATGTCGCCAGATGAATCCAACCAAATCAGAGTTAGGCAAATGTAAGCAAGCAAATCCTTGATAAGATAAATGAAGCCATCATCGACAAGACCAACGTTCATCAATGGAAAAACGCAAGAGCGACCCTCGACTGGTTCATCAATATCCCTAACAAAGACCATCACTCGTCCCTTGCCTTTGATCTTCTACCCGTCCATTTCACACAAGCTTCTAAGCAACGCCCTATCTTTCGCGGCTTCCTATACAGATATTTCCGCGGAAGACAGAAGAATTATTTTTCACACCAAGCAATCACTTTTGTTCAACGACAACATCCCATGGAACAGAAGCATTCAGCAACTTCATTTGATGTTACAATGGGCTCGTTTGACGGTGCTCAAACCTGTGAACTAGTGGGATCGTACTTGCAAAACCAACTACCAGAAGGCATCAGAAAACAAATAGGCTTATACAGGCCTAGGGATGACGACCTGGACGCATTCCAGCAACACCGAAAAAGATCCAAAATATCAAGAAAGAGATTTGCAAAGTGTTCAGCAGCAACGGCTCAAAAATAACTATCGAAGCAACCAAAAAAAAAGTTGTCAACTTTCTCGATATCACTTTGAACTTAAACAAAGGATCTTATAAGCCATATACAAAGCCTAACAACGAACCGCTTTATGTGCACCGTGAAAGCAATCATCCACCTTCCATCCTAAAGAACATTCCCCTGGCAATCAATAAAAGGCTTAGCGAAATCTCATCGGACAGGGTATCCTTCGACAAAGCAGCACTCATGTATCAGCAAGTGTTAAAAGCAAGCGGCTATAATCAGCAATTAAAATTTGACACAACAACTAAAGACCAGACGACTAGAGAAGGGAGAAGAAGACACCGAAATATAACTTAATATAACCCACCTTTCAGTAAGAACGTTGCTACTGACGAAGGAAAGAAATTTTTAGGCATCGTAAAAGAATACTTTACACCAGGGCACCCGCTATTCGTGCATGTCAAATTCGGAAAGAAAAATCAGCGCCCACAACAAGTCTTCCCTCGCAAATAATTCTCAATCACAAGAAAAATCGTGCAATTGTAGAGACAAGCACTCTTGTCCGCTAGGTGGCGATTGCCTAGTTCAAAACGTGGTCTACCAGGCCACAATTGAAAGTCCCACGGGAAAGCAAACATACATCGGACTTACCCCGAACCAATTTAAAACAAGATTTAGAAACCATGCGGCTTCATTTAGCAATGAGAACAAAAGGAATACAACAGAGTTGAGCAAATGTATCTGGTCCCTAAAAGATGCCGAATCGGAGTTTGTCGTGACCTGGAAAATAATGGCCCCGCGCCAGGCCGTACTCGAACGTAACAAAGAGATGCAATCTTTGCGTAACAGAAAAATTTTTCATCATGTGCAGACCAGGGGCGGGCACCCTGAACAAAAGGAATGAACTGGTGAGTGCGTGCCGGCACTTAACCAAATACTTGATAAGGCATGCTTGAACCATCAACTTATAAAAGGAACGTTAGCCAACCGGTTTTATGCTCCTGAAGAGAGATGACTACCAGACCCTTTCGAAACAGTTCTGTAGTGCGAAGTTTTAATTTTATTTTCCTACACAATTGATTATAAAGCTCCATGATTGAAGAGCACTCTCCGACTCGAGGATAAAGTTTTTACGTTT